TGTGATGTCGCGTGGTGCGGACTGCATGTGGAGTAACACAATATTTTTCCCCTTTGTGATTTGATGAGGCGCTGTGATATCGGGGTGGCACTGGCAGTATGCCTTACACAAGATGCTACATTCAACCCGATTCAATCTTTCGCTATTTTTTTCCTTTCCTCTGAAATTGCCTTATTTCCACTGGTAGTAGAGATATTTGGGATGAGGTGCTTAACTTATGTTACAGGACTGGGCTAGCGACAACGATGAGGATAGCGAGTTCGAGTGGGATACTGATGGTGAGTTTGAGGCCTCGTCTGCTCCAGCCTTTTCGAACACGGATGCACCTGGTCTGTCCACGAGCTGGTCATTTGTTTAAACCATGATATTACCTTGCTATAATTATAATCATAATATGGTGTTTGTCTAAAGGATGCTAATGGGAAGGCCAATGGATCAGCACCATCAGCTTTGGTGGCTTACTTTTTGGGAATGGGTTTCTCGAGAGAGATGGTCTTCAGAGCTATCAAGGAGATTGGTAATGATAACAATAATACATTTCCTCATTTGCTTCAACTGTTGCCGTTTCTTTCAGGGGACACAGATTCGGAGCAAATTCTTGAGTTACTTCTCACTTATCAGGTATTTGTTCACGTGGTTGCATCACTTTGTTTATTATCTAATGCTCTATTGTACAAGTCATGTTGTGTAATACTGTAATGCAGGCGATAGGCAGTGACCCTTCAGTGGGTAACAGCTCTCATTCTGCCTGTGACCCCTAGATTCTTGAAGAAGAAGATGAGGAGGAGGATGTTAATTGGGACGAGGATGATACTGTTGACAATTTTGATAGGGCTACTTACTCTGATGGTTCTGGTGATGAGGTATGCACATGACTCCCTCCTTGGTCATTATATATTTATATCAGATACTTGTTGTGTCTATTTCTCGACCAATTTACCTGATCATGATCAAACCTTTGTTATACTTGTTTCATGCCAAGCACACATTCCCTTTTAGTGCTTGTCTAAATGATCTATTGGTCCAATAAATTGGAAGGTTTTGTGACTTAAGTTATGTTTCACTTTTATTTAGTAAACTAGTGTACATGCTTACCTGTACTGCAATACTATAGTTTTTTTGGGTTATCTATAAAACAGTACCTGTTCCTGTAGGGTTGTTAAAGGAGCTTTGTTGATCCTGCTCTTACTTCTATGTTTCTTTAGCTGGCATTTTTGTATGGTGCCTTTATAGTGAGGGAGAGTTAGCAGAACTACTACAGGACCATCAAAGAAATGATCATATACTTCTACAAGGTCGTATTCAAACCAAGCAATGATGAAAGATAGTCTACTGGATGCCTATAATTGAATGGTTGCAAGTTAAGACCACCAGACAGAACAATGATAACCACTGGCTACATCTGAACACATAATAGACAACAAAAAATAGAACTGAAATGATGCCTATGAGAGCTTAGGTAATCTGTGCTGGGCATTTATCCATGTGTTGATGATTGATAAGCTGTACTCCCCCTCCTTTTTGTGGCCTAACAGGCTTTCTTGTTTCACCATTTTTTGAATAGTTTTACTACTTTTTCATTACATATTTAGTATGAGTTTCCTCTAACTTTAATCCTCAAAATAAGTTCCTCTATAGTGTGGTAGTATCTGTTTGCATGGAGTTGTAAGACGCAACAACAAATTTGACACAGAAGGATAATCGTATATTTTGTTGCAGTAAATTTGGGTTTTACAAATGGTACATGCATATATGTGATGCCTGCATTAGTTGCTTTGTTGGGAGGTTATTTCAGACTGCAATTCATGAGTGAGATGTAGCAAATGTTTTCAGTCTGCTTGTAATGTGCTTTGTTGCAGGACTTTTTACAAGAGATGTCCGAGAAAGATGAGAAAATCAAGTCCTTAGTCAGCATGGGTTTTCCTGAAGATGAAGCAATGAGGGCTATTACTAGATGCGGTATACCTCTATTGAAGTTGCTGCTTTGACAGTAAGGAGCCTTATACTGCCTATGCTGGGTTAAATTTTGGCAGGTCTGGATGCGTCTGTAGATTTGTTGGTTGAGTCAATCTATGCACCAGCATCTGCAGGAAATGTTTATTTTACAAACTTATCTGACTATGAGGTATGGGTACCTTGTGATTATAGAGCATCTGAATGATGAAATTGTTTTCATTTCTTTAATGTAATGCCACTGGCATAATGTTTACTTTTGTGCAGGATACAGAGTTCAGTTCCTTTGGAGGAAGAAAGAAAACAAAATTAATAGATGGAACCAAGAAAAAAAGAGAACGGTATAGAAGTAGACCACAATGGAATCAAGTGCCATTTGACGGCAGCCATGAAGAGCCAATGCCTCTTCCAAATCCAATGGTGGGATTCAGCTTGCCCAATGACGGGTTAAGGTCAGTCCACAGAAACCTTCCTGACCATGCTCTTGGACCACCATTCTTTTACTATGAAAACGTGGCCCTAGCACCAAAAGGTGTATGGACGACCATCTCAAGGTTCTTGTATGACATTTATCCTGAGTTCGTAGATTCCAAATACTTCTGTGCTGCTGCTAGGAAGAGGGGTTACATCCATAACTTGCCGATTGAGAACAGGTCACCTGTTCTTCCCATTCCCCCAAAGACAATATCTGAAGCCTTTCCTTCTACTAAGATGTGGTGGCCCTCTTGGGATCCAAGAAGGCAGTTCAACTGCTTGCAAACTTATGTGGCAAGCGCAAAGCATACAGAACGGATACGATGTGCTCTTGGTAGATTCGGTGATGCACTACCTCCAGCAGTTCAGAAGAGTGTCTTGGAAGAATGTAGGAAGTGGAACCTTGTCTGGGTTGGAAAGAACAAGGTTGCTACTCTAGAGCCTGATGAGATGGAATTCCTATTGGGATACCCTAGGAATCATACCAGGGGAGTTAGCAGGAAGCGAGATATAGAGCTCTTGGGAATTCATTCCAAGTTGATACAGTTGCATACCACCTCTCTGTGCTGAGGGACATTTTCCCTAATGGCATGAACGTCTTGTCCTTGTTTTCTGGTATTGGTGGAGCAGAAATAGCTCTCCACAAGCTTGGGATCCGTATGAAGACAGTGGTCTCAGTCGAAATATCAGAGGTAAACATGGCGTTGCTGAGGAGTTGGTGGGACCAGACCCAAACTGGCATGCTGATTGAAATCGCAGATGTTCAAAATCTTACTGCTAAAAGAATTGAACTATTCATCAGAAGATTTGGTGGCTTTGACCTGGCGATCGGGGGCAGCCCGTGCAACAACCTCGCTGGTAGCAACAGATACCACCGTGATGGCTTGGAGGGCAAGCACTCAGCACTATTCTATCACTACTACAGAATCTTGGATTCTGTAAAGACTATTATGGCTAGCATGTAAGCTAGCCCATTAACGAACTCTCTGAATTATTGTTGCTAATGAAATTGGAACCTGATGGTTGATCTTCTTTCACAAGGTTTCTCTTGCCATGGCTCAATACGTTCTACTAATTTACCCCAAGTGCAAAATGTTCCTTCCACTTTGATAATGCTTGCAGTTCTGGTGCGAAAGGTATGAAAATTACATCTGGCAGCATGTCTCTCATTTTTGTACTACTATTATGTATACAAACTGAAGATTGCCATGGAGGAATAGGCTAATGCTATTAAGGGGCTTTGTTTGATTACTACAAGCTGAATTATGAACATGATTTGAGCACCATACACTAGATTCATCTCTGCTTTTGCTGAAGTTGAAATTCTGCAACCTGAATTGTACCTGCATTTCTATAATAACCTTTATTTATTTTGACTGTGCCTGAATGTCTATAGCTTGCACCTCCAATGCAAGTACATTTCCCTTTTTCCTGTTGATCTGCACAATTCACTCGATATATCTTTACTATAACAAAATCTTGAATCTTTGAAGGAAAGTTGTTTCGCCATGTTTGCAAGGCCCTTCTGATGAAACAAATCCTCCTCCTTGACACTGAAAACTGAACAAGATCCTTCCAATAATAGTGATAAGGATTCCCTGGACAAATAAGACTGCACCTCATTCAGTGATACAAGCGATGAGAAGCAATTGTTATCCACCTGAAAGAACATGTATGTCGACATTTGAGGGTGTGGACGAGGAGCTGAGGCAACATTCTTGAATTGGTTGCATTTGTAGTGGCACAACCGCTGTCACTGTCGTTACACAGGTATTAGTACTATGATTACAGAATCTTTCAACTATTTTTTTACCGGCAAGAGTCTTGTCCATATAGTAGAACTACACCATCTCTACCTAAAACTAAGATTCTGAAATCATAGCATGCAAGACATTGAACTTGCCAAATTTTATGTGTATGTCATATATAGTTATAGTTTGTAGTGATAAATACAAAACTCTCGAACCCTTGAATTGCCCTATTTTCCCATTGCTATGCTTATGCGTAAGGTGATCACCTGATGATTGCAAATTTGGGTGATTCGTGCGCTGTTCTATGCCCAATTGCAGTCCAACTCACCGCTGACTGGAAACCAAATATTCCATGTGGGAATAAGTTCACTTTGGGTCTCTCTATTTGTCGCCCAGTCCGAATTTCATCCCGTGACCGCAAAACCGGGTACTACCCATCCCCCAACTTCCAAAACCGGGCAAACAAGGTCTCTTGGCGGTTTTGGCTAACGTAGCGCCTACGTGGCTTGTTTGACTAGTTCTCCGTCCCACGTGGTATTGATGTGGCGCTGACGTGGCAATTATATATTGGAAAAATAATAAAAATCGTGGACCCACATGTCAACCACAGAAAAAAATAATTTAAAAATGGTGGTTCCCACATGTCAACTACAAAAAAAAATGGTGGGGCCCACGTGGGCCCCACATGTCATCCTCAAATGACCAAATCCAATCCTCTTCTTCCTCCTCTCTCCGGCTCTCCCCATCTCTCTGCTCCCTCCTCTCGCCGGGCGGTGTCCAGCACAGCGGGCGGCGGCGGACAGCACGGCGACGAACAGCGCGGCGACGGCGGGCGGCACGGCGACGGACAGCGCAGCGGCGGCAGGAGGCACGGCGACGGACAGCGCATGGCTGGCGGCGGGCGACGGCACGCGCGGGGCGGCGGCGGCCATCTCTCTCTTGCGCCGCTCGCCTAGCCATCCGCCGCCCTTCTCGTCGGCGGCGAGAGAGGAGGGAGCGGCGGCGAGAGGAGGGCATCCGGGTGGTCGGCGGCGGTGACACGGATGGCGGCGTCAATGGCGTCGGGTTCCGGGGGGCTCCCCAGCAGCGAGCACTGCGTCAGAGAAGAAGGCGGCGGCGCCCCGGGCGGACCCGACAAGGAAGTCCTCCTCCTCGTGGTTTCCTTCCCCCTCTCGGCTCTCCCTCTCCTCGCCGTCCTCATCGCGAGGCTAACCTGACGGGGACCCTGAGCTCGTTGGAGATCGAGGAGACGTAGAGCGCGAACTCCCGCTCCTCGTAGAACCCGACGAGGTATATCTGCGCCAGGTTGGGGATCTGCAGCAGCGGGGATCCAAGATGCTTAGAATTTTTTTCTTTCTTTTCTCACACAACAAGAGAAATCAATGGGAGTTAAATCTGCCATACGCGGCGGCACGCGGAGATTGGGTGGTGCACCATGGGCTGGCCAGCGAGCGGGAACAGCGGCTTGGGCACGTTCAGCGACAGCAGCCGGAACCTTGTCCCTTGCAAAAAAACCACGCCCACGCCGTGTGTTAGATGGTAACGCGAGTACCCACCGCGTCGCTGGCCGGCGGAGGAGGAGGAGGAGTGGGGGGGAGGGGGGGTGGACGCGCGCGGATCTGCCTTTACCTTTGGTCGGCCCGCCGACCATGATGACGGCGACGACCCGCTGCTTGGAGCCAGCCATGGCTATCTACCCCGTCCGTCTGCGCGTGGTGAGGCGCCGGCGGCGAAGTGGAGGTGGTGGCGAGTGGTGAGATTTGCAGCGAGGCGAGGCGGAGGGCGATGGGAGCGTGGACTCGAGCGCGCGGGGTGCGTTTTTTTCTTTTTAGAAGAGAGAAGACGGCGGCGCAGGCGAACCTGGACGCGCCGGGGCAGCGACCGACGTCACCGACCCAACGAGCGAGCGATCGTGGCTGCGCGTCGTTGGAGATGGCGATGCGATGGGGTTGGACGCTTGGACTTGAGCGAGCCGGCCTGCTCCGCCGCCCATCCGCGCCGTCCGCTGCCCAGGAAGGAGGGAGAGAGAGAGAGAGGGGAGTGAGGCTGACATGTGGGTCCACGCTTTATATTATTTTTCCGAGATATAATTGCCACGTAAGCGCCACGTCAACGCCATGTGGAACGGAGACCTAGTCAAACAAGCCACGTAGGCACCACATCAGCCAAAACCGCCTTTAAAACCACCAAGGGACCACGTTTACCTGGTTTTCGTAAGTTAGGGGACGGGTCATACTCGGTTTTGCGGTCAAGGGACGAAAATTAGACTGGACGACAAATAAAGGGACCCAAAGTGAACTTATTCCTTCCATGTGAGGCTCTGAATTTTAGAGATGTAACGGGATTGTGGCGTACTGATATAGTTGGGCCCGAATGGCACTGTCACGTACATGCTGGCCCTTATTAGTTGGGCCGGAATGAACATGCGGCCGATTATTGCCCGATGGAATACATGTGGCCCATCTATCCATCCTAGTTGGCGTGCATACGATGATGGTTGACTGCTGGGCCCAGTTGTTGACTTCCACCTAGGCTTGGCTAGCTCGTCCTTTTCCTCTTCTTCCAATCAACAATGGCGGTCTTCAGTTGCATTGCATATTTGCATGCATCGTCGATCTTTCCGTCTATTTGCATTGCCCTCTCATCCGCACAACTAAAAACAGCCATCCTCTTCTCTCTGCACCTTCCACACCACACGCTAGCAATCTACGGCTAGGGCTACCTCCTCCATCGATCATGGCTTCCCTCCCTCATGCACGCTGCTGACGCTGCAATGCTCCTCCTCTGCGGCTGCGGCTAGATCATTCATTCCAACGTACAATTAAATTAACAAGAATTGAATCGAAGGACATTGGTTTGATCGTCCGGATGGCGGGTGCAAACGCGTCGACGGTGAAGCCGGTGGTGGCGGCGTGCTACGACAACAACCTGGTGAACTCGCAGGGGATGTTCCTGGGCGACGAGCCGCTGCGCTTCGCCCTCCCGCTCCTCCTGGTGCAGGTCTCCATCATCCTCACCCTCTCCGCCGCCGCCCACCACGTCCTCCGCCGCCTCGGCCAGTGCCGCTTCGTGACCCACATGCTCGTCGGCATCTTCCTCGGCCCCTCCGTCCTCGGCCGCAATCCCCACCTCCGCACCGCCCTCTTCTCCGAGCGCGGCACCTACATCCTCGAGAGCGTCTCCCTCGTCGCCCTCATCCTCTTCCTCTTCTCCATGGCCGTCAAGACCGACCTCACCCTCCTCCGCCGCCCCACCGCCCGCGCCCTCGCCGTCGGCCTCGCCGGCTCCCTCGTCCCCCTCGCCGTCACCCTCCCCGTCTTCCACGCCCTCAGCCCCTCCCTCCCCGCCGACCTCCGCGGCTCCTCCCTCATCACCGAGCTCGCCGTCCGCCTCTCCCTCTCCTCCTTCCCCGTCGTCGCCGACGCCCTCGCCGAGCTCGACCTCCTAAACTCCGAGCTCGGCCGCGTCGCCCTCAACGCCTCCCTCATCACCGACGTCACCTCTTGGTTCCTCCGCGCCTGCTTCGCCGCCGCCTTCCTCGTCACCCAGGCCAAGTCCCCGCTCTTCACCGCCAAGGTCCTCGCCTCCTTCGCCGCCTTCGTCCTCTTCGTTTTCTTCGTCGCCCGCCCCGCCGGCCGCTACATCGCCCGCAAGCGCACCCCGCCCGGGGACCTCCTCTCCGAGGGCTCCTTCGTCCTCGTCGTCATCTCCGCGCTGCTCTCCGCGCTCGTCACCGACGTCATCGGCTTCAAGTTCATGATCGGCCCCATGATGCTGGGCCTCGCGCTCCCCGGCGGCATGCCCATCGGCGCCACCCTCACGGAGCGCCTCGACTCCTTCTTCATCGCGCTTTTCCTCCCGGTCTACATGGCGCTCGCCGGCTACCGCACCGACCTGGCGGAGCTGGGCATGATCGGCGTCAGCGCGGAGCACGAGGAGAAGTTCTGCGCGCTGGAGCTGTTCGTGTGGAGCTGTTCGTGGCGCTGTGCGTGGCGGGCAAGATGGTGGGGTGCGTCGCGGCGGGGCTCTTCTTCTCCATGCCGTTCCGGGAGGCCACCGTGCTGGCGCTGATGCTCAACATCCGGGGCATCGTGGAGGTGGCCGCCATCAACAACTGGGGGGACACGATGAAGGCGACGGCGGAGCACTACTCGACGCTGACGCTGTCTATGGTGGTGATCACGGCGGTGGCGACGCCGCTGATCAAGCTGCTGTACGACCCGTCGGGGAGGTTCGCGCGGGCGAAGCGGCGGACCATGGAGGGGTCGCGGCCCAACGCGGAGCTGCGGGTGATGGCGTGCCTCTTCAGCGAGGACCACGCGGCGCCGCTGCTGGACCTGATCGAGGCGTCGGGGTCGTCGCGCGACGCCCCCGTGTCGCTGATCGTGCTCCACCTGACGGAGCTGGTGGGGCACGCGGCGTCCGTGCTGAAGCCGCACAGGAAGTCCCGGAGCAGCTGCGGCAACCCGACGCCGTCGGACCGCATCGTGAACGCGTTCCGCTACTTCGAGCAGCAGGCGCCGCTGGGGGCGGTGACGGTGAGCCCGTACGTGGTGGCGTCGCCGTACAGCAGCATGCAGCACGACGTGTGCCTCCTGGCGCACAGCCGCAAGGCCAACCTCATCCTGCTCCCCTTCCACAAGTCCTCGGACGGCGCCCGGAGCACCGCCAACAACGCCATCCGCGGCATCAACCGGTCGGTGATGCAGTACGCGCCGTGCTCGGTGGGCATCCTGATCGACCACGGGGTGGCGGCGGGGTCGGCGTGCGCCACGGCGTCCAACAGCACGCTGCAGCGGGTGGCGCTCTACTTCCTGGGCGGCGCCGACGACCGGGAGGCGCTGGCGTACGTGGCGCGGATGGCGGAGTGCGGTTTGGTGGCGGTGACGGTGGTGCGGCTGAAGCTGCGGGACTGGGTGGGGATGGGGGGCCGCGACGAGATGAGGGACGAGGAGGCGCTGCAGGAGTTCTGGCAGAGGTACAGCAGCGCGGGCGCGGAGAGGGTGGCGTACGTGGAGAAGACGGTGGAGGACGGGGAGGGGACGGCGTCGGTGGTGCGCGCCATGAGCGACAAGTTCGACCTGCTGGTGGTTGGTAGGAGAGAGGGCGGCGGCGACGGCGCGGAGGGGTCGTCGGCGGCGGCGCTGACGAGTGGGCTGTCGGAGTGGAGCGAGTTCCCGGAGCTGGGAGTGCTGGGCGACATGCTTGCCTCCGCCGACTTCGCGGCCAAGGTCTCTATCCTCGTCGTCCAGCAGCAGGCCGCCACCAGGAACGACGACGATTACTGACTTAATTGGCTAGTCATGCTGATATACTACATTAATTTTGACAATTTAACCCTTTGCAAAAACTATTTTTACAAATAAACCGCTGCCAAAACTTATTTCAAAAATGACATTTTTGCTCAACGCCAAATCTTGTGGCGCTCAGCTGGCGCTGAATGCCGTGCCACGGCGGATGGTAGACTAAGTCAGCGTGCCAACGTACATTTAGCGCCATGCCATTTGGCGCTGAGGTGTCTAAGTTCAGCGCCACACGATTTGGCGTTGAGCAAAAGGGTCAGATTTGAAATAAGTCTGGGCAACGGTTCATTTGTAAAAATAGTTTTTGCAAATGGTTAAATTGTCAAAATTAATGGATATACTACCTCATTCACTCTGCTCTTCTCCTCTCTTCTCTGCTGTAATATTATTGTGTTTTAGGATTTTTGTCAATCATCTCTATTTTACTGTACCTAGGCTTGCATAATCTTGCTTTGATACTGGACACAGTACGTCTAGATTTCTATCACGTAGGAATATGTACAAGTATGCATCATGTTGGTGTAGAGTGAAGTGTTCAAGTGTACCTCTGAACTTCTCATTTTAGAGTTCAGACTGTTATCTCAATAATTAAAAAAGAAATCCTTCTTTTGTAATGAACTAGCGTGGCTGTGTTTGGTAGGACTACAATATGGAGTATTATTGTGCTAGACTGCTGGTGCAAAAAAATAAAATGTCGGCAATGCACTAACCTGACTAATCCCCAAAGTCGTAATCCTGATCAAGTACATGACGTAGGTGCTACAAACACAAATGACGATGGCATTTGGAGCCATCGACAACTTGCGCCTTAATCACGGGGGAAAGGAGAACATCAAGTACAGTGCCGACCTACTAGTACAGAGAGTGGCTATTTCAACTGAAGCCGGAGCTGAAGGATGATGGTGAAGGTCTATGGATCTTAAACATATCCAATGGTGATAATTTTTACTGAAATTTGGAAATACCAATAGCTGTTATAGATACTGGAGTAGTACTATATTCTGATATGTCAATATTATTGTGTATGATTGATTGTCATTCTTTCTTTGACTACATGAAAACACCAACACCAAACACGGTAATTACTACTCCCTCCGTCCCAAAATAAGTGCAGTTTTACACTGTTCATGTCTCACGTTTGACCGTTCGTTTTATTTGAAATTTTTTTACGATTAATATTTTTATTGTTATTAGATGATAAAACATGAATAATACTTTATGTGTGACTAACTTATTTTAATTTTCTCATAAATTTTTCAAATAAGACGAACGATCAAACATTGGACACGGATTTCTACGGCTGCACTTATTTTGAAACGGATGTAGTACTAGTATTGTTTTAAATTCTATACTTATTGAGTCCATCAGGCAAACCATCATAGATGTTCAATTATGGATAGGCTATCTGAGGCTGTGTTTAGTTCAGCGCAAACTTTAAATTTTGGTTGAAATTAAAGATGATGTGACTGAAAAGTTGTGTGTGTATAACAGATTGATGTGATGAAAAAGGACTGAAACACAGCCTGAATCAAAGCCTAGAGAGTGTAGTGTAGTATAGTCTCCTCCTTTCCTTCCCACTTGTAGCAGGCCGGTGGGACCCACAAGTCACCACCTTTCTCTTTGCTTTTCTTCCCCGAGTAGAGTTCAAGTGGAGAAGTGAAGCAGCAGCTATAGGCTATAGCTTCAGGCCTGCAACTCCCGGGGTAGAGTGCTGAAACAATAGAGGAGCATCCATGGGGAACATCCTCCGGTGCTTCAAGGGAGACGACGATGGCGGTGATCACTACCCCTACTACAAGCCAACCTCCAGACCACACTACCAGCCTCCTCACTACCATGGTCAACCTGCAGCCCCCCCAGCTCCACCCCAGCAGCAGCCTCTCGGCCCCCATGGCGTCACGCCGTCCACCGTCGGCGTCGCCGCCCTGGCGCACGACCTCCTCAACTTCGAATCCACATCCATGGTAACTTCTACACATGCAACTCACCTAGCTCCTAGCTACATGCCCTTACTCCCACTTTCCTCTTTCATTCAGTTTGCAACTATACTAATTAGAGGTTACTGTACGCCTGACATTAATCTATCAGCATGCATTTACATCCTAATTAGAGGTTATCCAATTACAGTACAAAGGTTTCTGTTGTGTGTTCTATGGCAAAAATTGGGTTTGGAGTATGAAAATTTATAGGTGTTAATTGCATCACATATGTAACTTTGCTCAGCCTTGAACCCCTCTGCAATTGAAACCAATCTTTTGTTACTGAAGCTAGAGCAATACTTACAATATTCCTTTTTATTGGATTTATCCTGTTATATGTGATTAATTCAGTCATTTTTGTAAGGGGTTTAGTGTATCGTAAACCAACCTGATTATAAGCACACTTTCGTCTTTTTTTCCCTTAATCACACTTTCGTCTTTTTTCCCCCTCTGTTTCTTTTGGAATAGTGATGAATATCTTGTATCTGGACTGAAAAAATATGCTGCATTGCGGTAATACCATTTCTGTTAGCACTTGCAAACATGTTCATATTCTAATGGCGCATCATGCCAAGTTCAATTACTCCTTTATTCCCAGTTTTTATTTACTGTTCTTCTCCCATGATTAGACATGTATAAAGTAAGTATTCATTTTCCATATTATCAGGTTCCTGATGGCCTCAGTCAGCACGTTGTATCATCCAGGAAAGCACAGGTTAAATGGTATGGATCAGCTCTAAAAGTCTTTGTAGAGTTGATATTTTTTTTAAGATTTTGTACGTTTGGTGTACCTACTGATATCAAAATCGCTTTGATTCCTCTAATACTAAGATTAATTGAATCAAGGTTTATGAGTTAAGGCTGTAAAATAAATAAATAAATAAATAAATGATTGGTTACTGTTGTACTAGCTTAAGTTGGGCTTTTTTACTAAATGATTTTATGACTGTGAGGTTAAATGATTTTGATTTGCTATCCTAGGATAGGATGTTCCATACTCGTTCATATGTAGACAAATCCTTATTTGAGAAGGTGAAAATAAAAAAAGAACAGCATTGAAACATACAAGCAAAAGTTGATGCACTACTAGTATGGTCTATTTGTCCAGGCTACCTCAGGTGTTGATAAACTAAAACCTTCTAGCTTGCTTAAAACAGAGAGGAGGATAAGAGTACGCAATGGTTGGAGTTTGGGACTCAGAAAATTCTTACCAAACGAAATGTAGAGTTACATATTCACATGGCAGTTGAAATTGATTAAGATACATTGTGTTCTTGGCTACATTTCTGGTACATTCTCTAGAAGACTCAGGCTAAATTCGAAATCAGCCATGTTGACATACAAGTTTCGGTCTTGAATTCTTTTACATATTTTAGCAGGATAGAATTTCAAGTAGCGTAGAGGCATGTATAATATGGTTCTTGTTCCAATGGTATGTTATACTGTCAGTAATGACCAGTTTGTCACAAAGCAAAAGTATTAGGCAAATCTTGCAATTAACAGCTAGTATATATGATATTAATACAACTTCCACTGAACAAACTTCAAACGAATGTTTGATCTGATATCTTAATTGGAATAATAATAGGTACCAGAAACTGTTGGAGGCGTATAAGAATACAACACCGCCACCAAAAACACCAGCAGATGCTGCTCAGCTAATTGCAAGAGCCCTTAATATGATCCAGAGAGCTGATTTGGAGATAACTTCGTTTTATATTTTGATATTCTGAATAGTTCAATCTGAGAGAACACAGAACAATTCATTAATCAAAGGATCATTTTTTACAAACTGAAATTATCAATCAAAGCAATTCACTGCAATTTGTATTATTTCTATTGCTTAAATTGGCTATAGATACTCTACTCACCTCATCTAGAAACTATGTTTCCCCTCAGGGCATTCTTGAATTTTACAACTTTCCGATCCCATCACTCCCCTCAGCATCGTCAAACTACCAACCATCCTCGCTACCAGAGGGCGTGCAGTTTGTGCTAAACACTTTGCCGGTACGGTGTGATCAACTATTACAACTATTCTGAATAATAGGTTTATCACCAAGAATCCGACATCACACGTTGAACAATGATTTACATAATTGTCAATAAATGCTAACTCTCACATATCACTGATATTATCAGGTTTATGACAAGTGCATTGGAGATGGTGATGGATTTACTGCATATGTTTCCACAACAGATCCGAGGGAATCTGCAAATGTGCCATTGGAAGTGCATGAGTTGGTGATAGCAAGAACTCAAGCACGCAAATGTAGGGATTACCAGAGTGCTGATGCTCTTCTAAGCAGCCTTGATGAAGCTGGATACAAGTATGGAAACTGATATGTTCTGATCCTTATCAGTTAATACCACAAGATTGCATATCTGAATGCCGCATCTTCTAATTTTATATACAAGAGTTATTGTCCTAATTTTCTGAATATTGTCTTTTCATGGAACAATGCAGGATGCCTAATATAGTAGGCACTGGAAAATAACAGAGCTTAGAAATTAAATTGATTTTTCTTCTAATAATTAAAATTAACACACAATCCTTGATATGTATATAAATGCTCTCATTGTCCCCACGCAGTTGACACATGCATTTATGCATTTTAGGAACAAAACTGTGAAGATTTTTATAGCAGCTATTCATGATTAAATGTGGACAGTAATTACATCAGTTCGATTTGGTTTAATCACATATATGTGCTAGCTTTGCTTGGAGATCACAGGAAAACATGGCTTACTATGAATTTTGATGAGCAGGATAATATCTTGTTCAGATGATGAGGTCCTCGCAAGGAAATACAGAATAAGAATGAGGTAGGTATCTACATTGCACCTCTAGATCGAATAAAAATTTGATGTACTACTGTGAGGTGTGAAATGCATGATCTTTTCTAATTTCTATATTAAAGGGGAATTGATGCACCGGAGCTTAAGATGCCATATGGGAGGGAATCACGGAATGCATTGGTGAAACTAATTGGTGGGAAGAGCGTTAAAATTTATGTCTATGATCTGGACCAGTTTGGGCGCTACGTTGGTGATATCTATTGCAATAATTTGTTCATTCAGGTGAAACATAACCTATTTCATCAGTACCTCCACAACTCCACATGTATCATGATTTTACTGCTTCAACTCTTATGAGAAATTGTGTGCTCTCTTTTGAGTCCTTCAGGAGCAAATGCTGAAGAATGGCCATGCATGGCACTTCAAGACTTATGATAAACGCCCAGAGTTTGCAAGAGTAAGAGATTCTACTATATTGTGTAGTTACTTGTTTTGCTCTTTGACAGATTTTCTTTTACATAAACTTTGTCGAGTCATGCTTACATATGTTGTTATTTCTGGCTAAAAAGAGTGAATTGCACTTTGGGCCATGTTTTATTACCAAAGTTTCACTTTGGACCACCCTGTACGTAATCTTTTCACTTTGGACTAGGTAACTTTACTTTTGTTGCACAATGGACTACCCTAACTCTTTTCGCTTGTGATGTCTAGCGTCTCTTTCGACAAAAGTATGTCATGTATATAGGTATGAAAGTTTGCTGGCATGTCGTTAACAATTTGCTCGAAGTCATCGAAGAAATGAAAATGTGTTTTGGGGTGGTCCATTGTGCAACAAAGGTAAAGTTACCTAGTCCAAAGTGAAAAGATTAGATAAAGGGTGGTCCAAAGTGAAACTTTGACAATAAAACATGGCCCAAAGTGAAATTAACTTGGGTAAAAAAGGGTTGTTCACTTATTCCCTGATTATGTAGTGGGAGAGAGAGGCAAAAGCTGCAAACCGAGGGCTTTGGGCGTCAGGGAATCCTGAGAAACCATGGGATTGGAGAAGAGACCAACGCAACGCAAGACAGGACGCCATTCAGGTGTACTGAAAGTTGAGTCTCCAGCACTCATTTGGCCACAAATGTGCATATATGTGTAATTGGGTAACGTTGTTGTTGAGTAGCTTTGCTTGCAATGAATGTGTCAGAAACCAAAAGCCAAAATGTATGTGTGGTTTATGTTGTACGAAAGAGATTATATATCCAGGAGTCAGCTGTGCCGTGTGATGTGGAGGTGAAATGTGGTCAATGCAAGTGAGCTTTGTTCAGAAACAAGATCAACAAGGCCGATTCTCTGCTGCAAAGCAAAGTTGAGAAGTAAGCTGTATATGCAAAATTGAGCTAGCTAGCTAGCTAGCTACGGTTGTTATTTGAAGCTGAAACCGTATCTTATTCAGACAGCCTCGCTCGATCGTCAGGTAAAAGGCCATGACCAAATAAACAAGATTGAAAGCCGAAGGAGGGATTCGATCGATGGAGGGCGGATTGTCAATCAATTGAGCGTGTTGCCATTGCCAAGCTGTGCCAGCTTAACAGGAGGTTTGCGATTGCCATTGTCAAGCGTGGCATCTTCGTCTTGGTGCTAGACTTGAAGGTTAAGCGGAGTGGCGCCTCAGAGGAGGAGGAAGCAGTCCGAATGCTCCGTGGCTTGAAGGCAAAAGCACATGAGCAGGTCATCCAAAACATGGTATTTGATTGCGCTACCGTTATGGTCAGTGTGCATTTGGTCAAATCTGCCAGGGGCCATGTTAGACTAGCCTATGCAACTTTATTTAATTACTTCTTGTTTAGAGATAGTAACATATTTTCAGAAAAAGTTTTCACAATAATTACCACTGTTGAGAAGTCAAAAACATATATAGCAGTAGAACAAAAGAGAATGAAAATAAGTACAACATTCAAAAGAAGCATCAGAAGGATCAACAATTACCGGTGCAGATTGTCTGAAGGGGAAGAAATAGTTTATCCTACATGTGTGTGTCTTGGTTGGAACCAATCACTTGAAGAGATATATATTCCTTTCTGTTTAAATAATTGCACAAATCATGAAGCACTTGAAGGAATATTTAGCTGCAACTGCAATCCATCCTTTATTTGTGCTTTAAAAGTTGTGCATTTCAAAAGAAGTGAAGCATAGAAGTGCCTCCAAACATAATATCATCTGGTTTATACTCTCCCATCATCATCTGCTTTATACTCTTCTATCCACCAATCACAGCTCTCAACAAATTGTTGTCTACTTTCTAGTTCTACCAATAGTCATTGCAGGAGCAAGAACCATCTCTAAAACAATGAAATCGATTGTTATCTCGGACAATGATCTCCCGATGAGTTATCCTCGATATGAGTTTAATTGCAGTGTGACAGTCACTGCAAACTCTGAGGTTCTTGGTGACCCTAATGGTCTCCCCTGGTCCAGTGACGAGAAGGTTAAATGCAATTGCTAGTTTCTCACTATGATGCACTAGTGTGTGCTCCTTCTCTTCATCTTCAACATCAAACATCACCACTTCTGTTGTTGGTTCATAACCCATGGTTTTCATTTCCAATCCTAATTCGTCGAGCTTTTTGTAAATCTGATCTGAAAGAGGATGTGACTTGTCTCCGACACGGAACTCATGGACCTTACCTTCAAACTCAACCCAGCTGCATGCAGGAACCTTCTCGACCCCTTTTTCCTTCATGTCCAATCTAAGCTTTGCTGCGTCCTCCCATCTGCCTCTGTTAGAGTATATGTTAGAGAGCATGACATAGTTCCCAGAATTCCAGGGCTCCAGTCGAATGAGCTGCGTCAATACATGTTCAGCAAGCTCTGCATTTCGGTGAATCTTGCAGCCACCAAGAAGTGCACCCAATATGACAGCATTTGCTGGCATCGGCATATCATCAATAAGCTGATGAGCCTCCTGCAACAACCCAGCGCGACTGAGCAGATCGACTATACAACCGTAATGCTCAATCCTAGGGCTGATGTGGTATAGCTTAGTCATGTTATGGAAATACCGTCGCCCATCTTGAATGAGGCCAGTGTGTGTACAGCTGCAGAGCAAGCCAATGAAAGTATTGTCATTCAATTTCACACCGGACTTCTCCATCTGACCGATAAGGGTAAATGCAGTCTTTTCATGGCCAGTCATGCCAAGCCCCAAGATCATGGCGTTCCAAACAATAATGTCCTTCTTCCTCATTTGCTGGAACACCACCCATGCCTCGGCCGTGCTCCCACACTTGGCATACATATCAATCAATGCAGTCCCTAGGACTGGATTGTCAAGAAACTCATCCCAGTCCACCATCCTGATTGCCTGCCGTCCAAGATCCAATGCACCCAACCTTGTGCAGGCTGATAGCGCCCCAGCTACCGCATAGCAATCTGGCCTCACTCCCTCTGCCTGCATTGCAAGGAAAAGGTCCAGAGCCTCTCGTGGGTGGCCGTTGGAAGCATATCCCCCAACCATGGCGCCCCAGGCCACTGCATCCTTGTCCCGCATCTTGTCAAACACCTCCCTCGCCTTTGCCATCTCCCCACACTTGACATACAAATCTACCGCCGCAGTGGCCACGAACACGCTCTGTGCAATCCCCTCCTGCTCGGCAGCCCTCCAAACAGTCTCCCCAGTTGCCAAATCCGCAACCCGAGCACACGCAGTCAGGACACGCACGGCCGTGAAGCTGTCCGGTCGCATACCATTCGCAAAAGCATTCCTTGCGACATGGACGGCTTCCCTGAGGTCCCCAGCATCCATGTAGGCAGTGATGAGAGCGGTCCAGGAGACGGTGCTGGGGTGTGGCATTTCGTCGAACACCCTCTGGGCTCGGTGTAGGAGGCCGCATCTTGCGTAGAGGGTGAGGAGGGAGGTGAGGACATGGGGGTTGGTGTGGGAGGGAAGCTTGAGGGAGCGCGCGTGGAGCTGCTCGCCCGCGCGGAGAGGGTGCGGAAGGCGGGAGGCCGACTTGAGGGCGATGGGGAAGGTGAGGTGGGAGGGGTTGGGGAGGAGGCAGTGGAGGCGGAGCGCGTGGAGGTGAAGGGCGGAGGAGGAGAGGGCGCGGAGGAGGAGCGGGGAGAGGGCGGCGAGGAGGTCGAGGCGGAGGAGGCGGGCGTGGAGGAGCTTGACGGTGAGCGGCGGGGGGCGGTTGCTGGGGGCGACGCCGGCGAGGAGTAGCCGCCTGATGGCATCGCCCGACATAAATAAAGCGCCAAAGCCAGTCAACGAGTGAACAAATTTGGTCAAATTTTGGAATGTCTCTTCAAATACTCCATCATTCCTATTTTAAGTACCAACTATAAATTTCCACATCTAACTTTGATCGTCCGTATTATTTAATTTTTTTTATAATTAGTATTTTCTATGAGATAATAAAACATGAATAATACTTTACTCGTGACTTATGTTTTAAATTTTTTTTTAAAAAAAATTCAAATAAAACGGACGGTTAAAGTTGGGCGTAAAAAATCATTGCTGTACTTAAAATGGAACGGAGGGAGTAAGAAGAAAAAAAAAACAGATCTGAATTTTCTCATACTGCCTATTCTGATTTCGGAATGAATGAGAAGATATGAATGATATTATTTCATTAACCCATGTCTAACATGAGACAATCCTTCTCCTTGATTCTCATTGATAGTGGTGGCGCATCAATGGCGACCAGGGACGGAGACAGCGTGTGTGTGGGGGGGGGGGGACCCCCTACCCCCTAAAATACCATTAGAGCCCCCATAATATATCCCTAAAATTTTAATCCATATATTTATAGATGAGGGGCTAATATAAACTTTGTTTGAGGTTGAAGGCCCAAAAAAGTCTTAACCACCTTAAATTTTTCTTAGTTGCTCTTGGTCATTTTGGTTTAGCCCCTGCTATAATTTTATCCTGGCTCCATCACTGATGGCGACGATGCAGCCTTCTCTCTCCGAGGCCCACGGTGCCGACGATGAACCATGGCGTGTCATCGTGGACGTTGAGCGGAGCCACCGCGGACACCACCATCGGTTCGTCGTCGACGTCGAACAGCTCACTAGCTCACTCTGGCTTCGCAACCACCGCCCTGCTGCTATTTTTGTTGTCACATTGCGACGTCATCGCCATTGTGTTCACCTCGCCGATCTATCCTTGAGTCCTTGTTGGTGGACGCCGGGATTAGCACGATCTTCCGACTAACACTGGTGGAGAAACCATCTTTCGTCGGTCGGCCGATTTCCACAATAGTCCCGGATGCAATAAAAACCGGGGCTAAAGATGATCTTTAGTCCCGGTTCAAAAGGGTAACGGGCATATTTGATCTTTAGTCCCGGTTTGTGTTACCAACCGGGACTAAAGATCATCTTTAGTCCCGGTTCGAATGCTGTCAGTGCCTGTCAGGCCCCCCCGGGATCTTTAGTCCCGGTTGGTAACACCAACCGGGGCTAAAGATCGTAACTTTAGTCCCGGTTGGTAATACCAACCGGGGCTAAAGATCCCGGTGATCTTTAGCCCCGGTTGGTGCTACCAACCGGGACTAAAATCCCACCCCTATATATATGTCTTCTTCCTCCTCCAGCTGCCCGAGCAAGCTTCAAAATTTCTTCAAAAAAGAGGGGAGGTCATGCCAAAATTTCTATTGAATTTATTTTGGTGATTACATACAAATCGGAGGTGCCTAAGAGGTTTGCAACTTCATCCTCCAATGTTTTTTTTTGTCATACTACATTTGCACCTATGTTTTGCACACTTTTTTTGTCTCCAAAATTTAGTTGTAAGTTGATGAGAGAGAAAATGTGTGTGGGGAAGAAAGAATATATAGAAATTTAGTTCATTTGCTAAACAAGGTTTTATAAAATAGTTGAGAAGGAAAACTCTAGTGAAAGTTAATCTTAAATAATAGAAAACAAACTAAAATGAAAATTAAAAGAAGTAAAACACATTAAAATTAGTTTAAAACTTTACAAATAGTTTTTAAGAATTATTTGGTGTAATATTTTATGATTTTTGTATGAATAAAGATATCTTATAATTATTGTATGACTGTCATTATTGTAACAATAATTATTTGTGTACGGTTTTTTTGACTCATGTAGATGGATCGGCAATGGATGTACGCTGACCGGCGGTCTAAAGAGTTTATTGACGGCGTGCACTATTTTTTGAGAGTGGCCGAAGCTAACAGGCAAAGGGGTTTTATTTGCTGTCCATGCAATAAGTGTAAGAATCGGAAGGAGTATTCTGCATCCAGGACTATTCATTTCCACTTGTTTGAGTCGGGGTTCATGCCAAGCTATAATTGTTGGACATCCCACGGAGAGCAAGGTGTTGAAATGGAAGAAGATGAAGTGGAAGACGACAATATTCCGGACTTTGCTCAGTATGTTGGATTTGAAGGAAATCAAACGGG